GCTTACTATAACATGATTGATGAGTGGTTTATTTGTATTTGGCTATGGATATAATCTCACTCTCACATGGTTCTGAAAACCATAATTCTGTAGAATTCCTAAAAAGAAAAAATTCCCCGTCTAGTTTTGTAGAAGTGATTTTTCTTATTCCCAAAAAACTATTTTTAGCTCACACAAAGAGAGAAATCATTTAAGTGGATTGGGGTGAAGGTGGAAATTGCTACTCAGGGATTTTGAGAGGAAGTTAAGGGATTAATTAAAGGATTCTGGAACAGCAGTGAGGGCTCAGATGAGATTTGTAATAAACTTGTTTATCAGTTTTTAGATTTCCTTAGCAGGATTTTATGTCTGAGAGCAGAGAAATTAATTAGTAGTGTTGGTGTTAGGAGGAATAGTGGGAAGTCAAGGGGTGAGGAAAATTGTGGTGAGCCCTTATCATCATATTGCTATTATTGAATTGATATAAGGGTCTTTTGAAGCTTGTCCGCATTCGATCCCTGTAAAGAGAGGAGACGAAAGCTGCAGCACAGGCTCCTTTTGAGGGAGGAAGATCTTTAAACTGTCTCCTCCCTCCATGGCTTCTTTTCTGTTGCTCCACTGCTTACAGGCAGTATCAATAAGCATTTGCCATGAAGCCCTTTCCTTTCCTGGCCTCCTTAATACCAGAGCTTTTCAATGAACATAAAGAATATTATTTGGCAAGATGCAAGGCCAAATCACAATTACTGTCACAAAAACAATTTTCAATGTGGACGAGAAGCAGCATAACACCTCAAATGGAAATGGCAACTGCATGCGTGAAGAAGGAGCTTGTCACAGTCATTTGTGGGTTACCAGTTACCTTGATATTGCCAAGGCTATTGTGGTTTGAACATGGATATGAGTGTGTACATGAAATAGCTGAATAAAGAGTTAGTGCTGTTCTGTATACCTATGTCAGACAGATTTGAAAACCAAGAAATACCTGTTGCCTTACCAAAATTGTTTTAAGATTGATAGGATCACAGACTGTCAAAATACCAACTACTAGTAGTGGTATCAACGTTTAGAGGGGACCTGAAGAAATGCAGTGTGAAGTTTATATCCTGCAGAGTAGCACAACATTTATTTGAAGATAAAGACCACATTTTTTTGCTATAACAGATGGGTGTTTAGGTTGAGCCATATGAAAGTCTTGATGTTTCGCTCTTTTTGATCTGAGAGAAGTGGCGATTTCATATGGTTCAACCTAATAAGTTTTCTGACTGTGCGTCTCACCTGGGGATGGGAAATTGGGGAAGCCTTTTCAGTTTGATATAATCTCCATTATTGTTATATGCCTCTCTGAGGGATTGTGGTGGTACTGTCCCCTCCTCTCCCTTTGAGAATAGCCTGTATATAAAGAGATGTTTTCAGTAGGGCTGTCTTGTATGTGGAGGTGTGTAGGAGAAAAAGTGTGAAAACCTAAATTCTCTGGGATCATCCTG